TTCCTGCTCCCACCCCGCCTGGCCCCGACGCTTTTTCCTGGGACTTAGGAGCCCTTTTGGGTCGTGCTGGGCGTTTTGGGGGTCTCTGGCAACACCCACCCCAGTGGTCAGGTCTTGGTGGCAGAGCCCTGAGCAGGACAGGTCCATCCCTGTCCCCATCCCTGTCCCCATTGCCATCCCCCTGCAGACCCCTGCCCTCGCCCCCTCCTCCCACGGGTGCCTGGGCTGGCGGCCATCAGCGGGGAAGGGGCTTTGTCCTTCTGCTCCCGCTTGGCTGCCAACCTCAGACACGAGGAGCGGGGAGAGGCCACCCCATCAGGTGCCACCCCAGTGGGACCCCTCCCCGCGGGGGCGAGATGCTCCTGGGCGGCTGCACGAAGGGGTTAATGCCGGGGCGGCCGCCCGGCTCCGTCGCCTGCCCCAGTAATTACGGTGTGTAAAAATAGCCCATGCCGCTGGTGGGGCCGCTCAGGCGGGAAGGCAGCAAGTGGCGGCAGCGCCGAAATCGCTCCCAGATGGGCCACAGCCTCAGCCCACTGCCGCCTCCGCGGCCGACCGGTGCTCCCCAGCCCCGGCCTCCCCAGCTTTCCAGGAAGCCGGCGGGATTTCTGCCTCTCCGCAAACCCTTCCTGGCAGCCGACGCTTTGCGGCAACGCGTCGGGCTGTGGGACGGGCGCACGGCTGCCCTCGCCCCAGGGGAGCGGGGACCCCCGGCACCCTGCACCGAGGCAGCGTGTGTCCCCGGGGCTCTGCTCCGGCCGTGGGGGCCTGGGGGGCCCAGGGGACCAGGCTTTGGTTTCCACGGGGCCATGCCCGGGGGCCGGGGATGTTTCTCTGGAGGCCGGAGACCTCCAGGCTTGCAGCCATCGGGGTGCAGGCGGGAGCTGGGCAGGGCTGGGCCAGCACCGTGGCCAGTGGGACTTGCCCCGGTGAAGCCGGTGGCTCCTCCAGTTGTGGCTCATCCCCATCCTGCCGGTGGCTTCTGCCTGGGGCTCTCGGTTACCGGCCCCGCTGGATCGCATAGCGAGAGGGATTTTTTTTTTTTTTATGGGTTCATTTCAGGGGGTTTTGCAATCTTTCCCCGGTGCTGATTCAGCTCAGAGGAATTAGCAGTGCTGCACGCTGTGCCGCTCCGAGTCGCTCCTGGCGCACGCCAGGGCTGGCAGTGGCCAGGGGGACTTTTGCACTGGGGTTCGGGAAGCCACGGGGGCTCGGGGGCTGGAAGGGCACGTTTTGGGTGCTGCTGAGCTCCTGCAGAGCCGCCTGGGTGCAGATGTGGGTGTCAGGGTGGGGTCCGAGCCCCACGGGGCACCGAGCCCTGTCCTGGCCACGGCATCCCCGTACCCCTCTGTGCCGAGGCCGAGCCCTGCTGTCCCCTCCTGGCCGCCGTCGCCCGCATCTCCCGGCTGGCACCGACAACCTCGGCTCAGGGCTTCCCCGCTGCGCTGCACCTGCCAAAGCCAAGCACCCGCTTTGCTCCTGCCATACCGGCGCAGCCGCTGTGGCATCCCTGACGCAGATGTGGTTGCTTTGGAGCTGCTGGAAGTCCCCCAGGAGCGATGGGACCTGCCAAGGAGTCGTGGGGATCCCCGGCACCCACCTGGCATGCGGGGGTCCCCCGCAAACCTCCAGCTAATTGCAAATGGGGAAAGCAGCTTCGTTAGGGGAAGGGCACATCGTGAAGGCAAGCAGCAGGAGGGAAGGCAAGGGGCCAGGGGGGCTTGAGGGCCGCTGTGAGGTCCCC